AGTCCCATAGAAATAATGAGTATGGCAGCTTTAGGAGTGTTGCAAAAATCCTCATATTCAAATCAGCTTACAGGGCAGTGAGAAGAGGATTGAGTGGCTCAGTGTTAACCATACAGTCTGACAGGACCCTGCTCTTCAGCTGTGCTGGGACATGCATGTCATCCCAAACCCAGGGGGGTCCCATACATCAGAGCAGATTCAGCTTTTCCTTAATTCTTCAATTAAGTGCCTATTAGCAAAGAAGAAAGCACTTCCAAAATGGGCAATGTGGCACTAATCAGAGTTGATAGTCACAGCCATGGGGAAAATGGAGCAATGTTAACACAACCAGAAGGGGAGAGTGACAGACAGGTCCTCAGGAAACCAATTGAGTAATAAATAAAGTCCAATTATTATTCAGTCTGTCCAAATTACAGAAAAATGACCCCAAGGGTGAACTGATGTCATGGGCCAAATGCTTCTGTCCCTCTAAAATTCATATAGTGAAGATTTTGGTGAATGATTAGGGTTAGAGAAAGTCATAGATCTTGGGGCCCCTATGGGGTATTAGTGAGTGCCCTTACACAAAGAGGAAAAGACACTAGATCTCTGTCTGTCTGTCTCTCCATCTCTGTCTTCTCCTCACTATAATCTTTTGTCTTCTTTATGTGAAGCCACAGCAAGAAAATAGCTATCTCTTAGCCAGGAAGAGCCCTCAGCAAGAACAAAGTCTACTGGTACCTTAATCTAGGACTTCAAGCATGCAGAACAGTGAGAGTAAATGTCTAAAGATTTTGCCATCCAAATCTATGGTATTTTGTTACAGCAATCCTAGCTGACTAAGACACTGGGCATCACAGAGTGGTCCAATGGACTGCGCCATGATCCTTGTAACTTGAACTGGAATCAACATTGGTATGACTCCTCTCTTTAAACACAATCCAGGTAAGCTCTAACTCTGAACTCTCCCTCCTTCTCCAGTCTCCCTTTATGATCCTAACTAATTTATCCAGGTTAATCTTTAGGCCATAAAAAATTTGCACTGAAAAGTACAATTAAAGGCCTACAAGATTTGAGAAAAGATGACCATAAGAAGTTAAAAGTCAATCAACTTAAAACACATGGTCCATGCAAATGACCCATTCAGGGCATGACTTGTCACCATTACTGTTGTGTTGATACTGACATAATACCCAAGACTCCTCCAAGACACAAGGATGGATTATAAGGAATACAAGATAAAAAAAAAGAAGAGACAAGTTATTATTTTCAGGTGATAGGACTGTCTACCTGGAAATTCAAAAGAATCTACTGAAAAAGACTCAGATATTACACAGCTCAGTAAAATGAGTACTGACAGAGCTAAATATACAGAAATCAGTCATTTTCTTAGATAAGAATGCTTTGAGTAAAGGCTCTATTTAGAAGGACAACAAACAGTATAAATATCTAGAAATAGAACAAAAAGAAATGTTCAAGACTTCTGTGAAGAAAACTATAAAACTGTACGAACGTCATAGATGCTATAAAGATAACGTAAAGACATCAATTCTTCCCCACTGTGCTCCAGTTCATTTATAAATCTAATGTAATTCTGCCAGCCCATGATGTTCTGTTTTTTTCCTTGGATGTCTTTGATGCTCTATTCTTGGGATCACTCTTTTTTTAGCTAGTATGAGTGGGTTCCTCTTCATTGCAATCAAACGACTAACTCAACCTAGGCTACCCTCCCCCCACCCCCATTTCTCATGAGCCCATGCATCTTGAGTGAAATCCTTTCCTCATCCTCTGCATCTCTCTCCAAATGAGCTTTTTCTGATTCTTGCAATAATAGTAATAATAGTAGTAGTAGGAAATAAAAATTTTAATTAAAAAAAAACTTTGGGCTGGGGGTATGGCTCAAGTGATAGAGCACCTGCTTACCAAGTACAAGACCTGAAGCTCAAACCCAAGAAACGAAACCTTTAAAGCTTTTCTTTCCAGCTTTACCTTGACACAGTACGAACTTTGTGCCCAAATCAGCATCTAACATTAAGGGGCTTAGTTCCCATGACTATGAGCTCGAACTCTCAGGATAAATATCCTAATTGGCTGAACCCACTTTGGCTCAGGTCCTCGCTACTGGTCCAGCTGGCTGTAGCTAGGGGAAGTTGAGGCTGGTGGTTGGGGTTAAGTCAGGACAAGGCGCATTGGTAAGGGACCATGACTGACTATACCACACTGGTTTTATTAGATGCTTACACTGTGCCAGGAGGTTGTGCGCTTTACTAATGTTGTCCTAACCACTTTGCTAAGTAAATTTTATCATCACTTTGGTATTAAGGAAACTGACTTTGTTAGGTAGGTTAGTTCTCTGCAGTCACTTAAAAATGGATTCAATTCCAAGTTTCAAGTGCTTGGGGTCTTGCATGCTGGCCTGCCCAAGTTCTGGTAGAAGAATCACATCCCCCAGGCTGGAGTGTGGTGATAAACTCTCTCAGGAACCGCAGGCTTGAGCACCTCCTTGTCTAGGTCCCTGCAAGGGTACTTCTGCACCAGTCACTAGCCCTCATTTACCCAGGAACTCCCACCATCTTCCAGCTCGCTGCTAAAGGTGGCAGTCCCTCAGGAAGACTTACGTGGTTCTACAAGCCACTCTATTCTGCTGTCACACTGTGCTCTGCTCTGATTTCATTCTTTCTTTTAGTCTATCTGCCAGCCTGCTAGGACCTTGGCAAGGACTGTCCTGCTCCGTGATAGCAGCAAGTACATGCACACAATAAGAATTCAGTAAATGTGCATGAAACAAAATTGCATCGGCAACTCTCCAACACCTTTGGTCACACCTGAGGGAGTTCCTTTCTCTTCTTGGGGATAAACACTGCAGCCCACAATGGGAAGAAATCCACAGCCTAGAGCCACAGCCACTTCTACTTCTGGCTCTAAGCAGCCACAGACCCAACACATCTCATTTCCATGCTGAGGGAGCACATTTGGGATCTCCCCTCGCTGTAAGATGTGGTTTTAGGCCCTCATGAACCCTTCATAGGAAGTGGAGAAATAAATTCATCCCTGTAGCTCAAAGGAAATCAGCTATGCCCTTGCCTTGAGATTGGGGTGAGATATACACATTGCAATCCTGCAGGGACACCCCAAACTTCACAGCTCTACCCTATACCATTCTCACCCTTCTTCCCCAGTGAGCCAAGGAGCACTCCCAGGCCCTGGACATCATCCAGGAAGAACTATTCCATTAAGGTGCTCTGTTTTGTGTGAGTCCTTCGAGAGGGAGTGTCCTCATTAGAACCAGGTTAGCTTCCAGAAATGCCAGAAAGCCCCACACTGACTGTAAGGAGAAGTGTGCCACCCCCCCCCCCCACATCTCCGTTAATGAAATACTCAGAGGATCAGAAAACAGTGTGAGTTCTGGAAGGATAGGAATGGAAGCATTAGCCTGTATTACATAAGCATTTTGTTTGGTTTCTAGCTCACTTTAGGGAACTCCACAGACCACATTTCTAGCCATTGAATTCTGTGACTTTTGTACTCTACTGTCAAGAGAGAGATTTTTCTGCTGTCCTCTTCTGGGTGGGGGCTACCCCATCAAGATCTCTGCCCATCTTGGTTGTCAGTGAAGAAATGATCCTGTTTAATGTTCCACTGATTGAAAGGGATCAGAGTATCCAAGCATTTCCTGTCCCAAACAGCTGCAGAGAGGTGTCTGGTAGGAGGGATTTCTTTACCCAAGAAAATAAGCACATTTTCAGATGGAATTTTTGTGTCAGCAAATCTCAAATGGCTACCGGTCCTCAATCTGTGGTCCTATGACCATAAAAGGGTCCTGTGGAGGACTCATGTCACCTCTATTCCCAGCCATTGCCCTGCCTGACCTCACTCCCACCACACCTGCACATGTATGTGCACACATGTACGCACACACACACAGCACCCCCTCCTTTCCCCACCATTCTTCATCTTCCACGTGAGCCTTGGCAAAGGACAGGTGGGTGCCACAGTGTACATGGAGCTCTCTTGGACCATCCATGGACACAGGAAACCAGATAGGATTTCTCTATCAGGTTCTCACATGGAAGAGCTCAAATGATAGACACAAGCACCTCAGGGATTGAGCATTCCTGTTACCTGCTCCCCCAAGGCAGGCATACACCCAACTGACTGGCTCTTGACTGCGTGGAGCCATCCTGTTCACATCCGGGCCTGTCTCTGCTGCCTCCCAAACCTTTTGGGACATGCAATGCATTTTACCTGTGAGCTTTACAGGAGAAAAGATGAGGTGAAAGAAGCCAGATGGCTCTCCAAATTACAGGTTATGATGAATGACCCTCAGGTAGCAAAGTGTGGAGCTCAGAGGAGCCTGAGAACACATCTGCCCCCTGGAGCTGCACAGGTGCACAGAGCCACACATAAGTGGCAGAACGGGTGTCCCCTTTGGAGACCTGAAATGCATCTGCTAAGTACATCTGGGTGACATGGCAAACACAGATGGACCACCCACTCCCCTTGTGTTCTCCTGGATGAGTCATAACTTCTGAAAGCTATGGCACCCCATGACACAGGGCTGCAATTCCCATCACAAGAAGAAAATATATTGCCATCACCCGTCAGCAGTTAGCACTCTCCAAATGAGACAGGCGCAGTTGAGAATGGATCTCTCACGAAAATGGATCTCAGCACGAAAGCTCCTAACAGCAGCACCATGACACATCTCCAACACTTTGGAGAAAAAGTAAAGAGACATCTGGCTGGCAATCACCTCTAACCCCAGGAAACTTCCTGGGTTAATAAGAAGGAAGAGATAAGACAAACACTTGAATCACTCATCTTAACGCCTTTTAATTACAACATCAAGGAAAATAGTTGCAGGAGGAATGAGAATGAAGAAAAACACAGAGATTAAGCAGCTCATAATTTCACTGGCTGCGCCTGCCTACAAGGGTATAAATATTATGGGTTTCTGTACATGCATTTTGGGTTTGCAGTGAGTGTGTGTTGTGTATGAATGACTTTTATCTAGGGTGCTGTTCTCTCAATTTCCTGACAGATGATGGTTGAACTTGGGGTCTTCAGATGGGCTATGAAGGAGCTCCCCAACTAGGACTGAGATCCAGCCTTTTTCTTCTGGAATTTTCTGAACTGAGACTGAATGGCCACTGCTGCACGCTCTGTCTCTGGTGCGTCCATGTCGATGTCAAATTCTTCTTGAACTTTCTTCTGCCCATCTGTAGGGAGAAAAACACAAATTTAAGGCCATCGCACAGAGAAACAGATAACAGCTCTGGATAAGCAAAGCCCGGTGGTCTACCATGTGACTCACACTCAGCACTGAATCACCACCTCCAAAACAAGATCAAATTCCATGTCCTCTGACTGCCTGAAATCTACACCTCCAAGGGACAATGAAAGTCAAGAACCAGTCTAAGTATTTCCTGTACATGATTTTCTGTTCCTACTGTCCACACTTCATATCCATTTTTAAAATACTGTATTGTATAACAACTGTATTGTTACTTTCTCCATAAGTCCCACACAGATACTATGTAAATATCTCTGCAGGTATTGACTCAATGCTAGCTGATATTCACAAAAGCCCCACGTTAACAAAGTGATACTTTGTGTTTCTATGTGTTCTTCTGTTGCCAATGGGATTTCCTTATCATAGGGCTTCAGTTGTTACCATAGTCATGATGGAATAACAGCATTTGACCTTCACAGTAAGACTGAACTTCCACAAATCAAACATCGTGTTCCTGCAACACAGGCTTAGCAATGTTTTTGCTAAGAAAGAAGGACTTAGCCAATCCACACAAAAATGGTTGTTGAGAACAAGAAAGAAGCCAGCTCGAAGTGAAGACTTGGGTTGGTTGGCCCTTTGTGTTGTGCACTTACTAGGTATTGGTCAAGTAATTAAGACCGATAAGTAAATAAAATCCTCCAGCCACAGAAGGGAAAAATCCTTGAAAATACTCCATGCGGGTGAATGCTGGGCATCAGAAGCATCAAATGCACAATTTCCATTGTCTTTTTTTAATGCATACCCTGGGCTCCAGCCCAGACTTCGGTTGCCTCTTGCCCACCTCTAGGTAGAAGCTATGTTGGGTAGGTCAGTGTTCCTGGGGGAGACTGGATAGCCACACTTTTTAAAAAGGCTCACAGGAGCATCCAGAGATGGGATCCAATAGTTTATCCACAGGTGAGGTAACATATAAGGCCCTGGAGTTAACCAGATCCAGAAATAGTGAGAAGACCCATCTCCACTCGAACCTGAGCCAAGAGCCTCACTGCCACCCTAGACTTGCACCTGGAGCAGAGGAGTGGCGCTGGATAGCTAGCTAGAGACACATAAGTATAGAGATAGAAAATAGATGATAGATAGATAGATGGATAGACAGATGATAAATAGATAGATAGACAGACAGACACGCAGGAGAATCAGCACTTATTTCAAATACATCTTGCATGATATTTTCATCCCAGACCCTCAACTCAAGCAGGTTCTTTTCCATTTTCCTGAAGATTCAGCAGGTTCTGCCTGGAGCCCTCCAGCCACAACTCCGTCTGGGAAGAGAGGAAGCTGGCTCGTCCTGCCAGCCTTGTTAGACAGATGGGTTCGTGACCAAATCAAAGAACTGCTTTCCTCTCAGAGCTGCCAGTGCCATGGAGGTAGAGATTTAGAGGACATGGGTGTGGAAATGATGCCTGGTAGTCATGCTCTGCAATCCTCCAGAGCCCAAATGCTGCACAGGACAGTGGCTCTGTTTCCCACTATGTCAGGTACACGTTCGTATTGTGACCTACACTGCAGGAATACTGAGGAGTCGGACCATTGGAAAAGGTAGGTGTTGCCTGAGGCTCAAGTGCATCCTTTAAAAATGTTTAATTAAAGTTATCCCATGAGCCTAACTGGAAGACAAGAATCGGAAATGCAAACAGCCCAGCTCAGAGCTCCTAGGAACAAACCATAAGTAATGACACCACCTGTGGCCTGGGGCACCTGTAGCACTAGGGATCATCATTTTTCATAAAGGTTTGCAGCCAAATCATTTCTTCCCAGAGGAAACCCTGCATCAATGGTACAGCCACAGCAAAGGGGAAAATCTCCTGCAATTCAAGGGAGGCTGGAAGGGCTTGCTTTTAGATTTAAAATGTTGCTGCATCCCAAAGATTCTGAAGGGTCTGATTCATCTTCCTCCTCTCACAATAATGGGAAAAACAATAATATTATTTCTTGACAAATGACAAATGAAGATGAAGAAAATTATGTATATTTAGGGAATATATGATGGAGGATAGATGAGTCATCAAATCAATTTTACAATTATATCTTAAACTAACATCTTCAGGCAAAAGTGATTTATCGATTCTTCCCTTGTTGGAAAATATCACAATGCTTAAAAAGGCAACCACTGATGTTTAAGGAATCATTGCTTCCTGTTTACTTTGCAGAGTCTAGCATTTTCTTGGAGGTCTGCACTGTCACAGTAGTGACACTGAGCTTCCTCCTCTGTGCTGGCCAGGGGTGTGCAAGGCAGAGGAAGAGGGACCCGTTGCAGCTGAGAAGAGACACTCATTAGATTTCATGGCTCAGGGATTGATACAAATGATGGAAGGGCTTCGAGCAGGCTCAATGTGGTCCTGCTGGCCAGGAAAGGACAGGTCTGGACACCCCCAGACTCTGCAGGACTGAAACAAGGCTAGAGGAGAGGATGGGGAGGACTACAGCCAGGTTCCTACTGTCAGAGTCTCTTCCAGGCTCAGACCTTGCCACAGTTGCCCTCAAATGTCCCCAGTGATGGTGACAAGGTCTCAGAGTACAGGGTGGCCCTAGAGAGAGAGACCTTCTCTCCCTCCCCGCCTCAGTCCAGGGTGGAGCCGGGACCCACAGGCAGAACCTGCAGGCTGTTGCTGCTGCTGATACCCAGAGAGAGGCCTTCGGTGTGTTGGATGTGAAGCCAAAGAGCCCTGGGGTGTAGTCCTACCTCACCCCATGCCTGTATCACATCCCTTCCCAAAGCAGTCACCCCACTAAGGACGAACCCAGAGCCAGGGAGCTCTGGGCAGGTTTCCAAGCCCTCTGTACAACTGTAGCTGCCACCCACACAGGGAATAAGCAAAACATAGGTCTGAGTCCCAGCAAACAGAGCCTTGGTCTCCTTGGGCTGAGTGGCTGACCTCTCCTTGCTGTCAGAAATAGGGGTGAGGGGTCCAGCCAGATTTGGGGATTGCTTCCAACTGCTGTGTGACCCTAGGGAAGTTTCTCAGCCCTCCTGGTTCTCAGTTTTCTGTTTTAGAAAATGTAAAAATAAAATCATTTTCTGAAAGGCTGCTCTACCTAGCCACAAGTGTCGTGTGCAGATCAAGCTAAAAGGTATTTCAAACAGCACTGGACACAATGTGCCAAAGCCACAAAGGCAGGTGGAGGGACGTGGGGACTGATGTAGCTTCTCAGCCTCAAGGTCCCTGCACTGCTTAGTGGTGGACTCACAGAGGGAGGGTGCGCTTCACAGTCACCCTGGGCAGCGGGGCTTGCTGGGCTTGATACAAGGATGGCCCCAACTCAGCAACACAAGCCATGAACAACATACTTAAGATATGTTCAAAACAGGGATCTCCCAGGCAACTAGTGCTGTCTCCAACCCACAGGTTGTAACATGAGGCGTGGACACCATGAAAGGGTCCACCCCAGTATCCACAGGTAGGACAGCCCTGGACACCCAGATCCTTTGCACAGCTGCTCTGTTCAGGAGAGGGCAGTACATCTGTGTTAGCAGTACAGGCAAGACATGTGCCATGGTCATTTCCAGAATACAATGCCACCGTTTCCCCACATCTCTATTTATTCTCTCATCAATCTGAAGGCTTGTGTGGCAGTGGGTGGGGTCCACCTGGCACTATTATGTAGGATTCTGCTGCCAGTGTTGAAAAAACACCACCATCACCTAGTTCCCCAAGGTAGCTTTTTGTCACTCACAGAAAACGATATTTTACCAAAACAGTCCAGTCCTGTGCTGCATTTTTGTTATTATCCATATCTGTCTGAAGTTCTGAAATTCTGTTCTTTCCTTCTCTGTATGGACACTCCGAAATCCTGAAGCTGACCACAGAGTGGTTAAGAGAATGGTCATACTGACTAGCAGATCTAATGTAGAAGACAGGGAGTTGAAGGATGAGGGGACACTCCACTGATTAAAAAAAAACAAAACAGCCCCCATTGACTACAATGTCCCATGTGTCTGGTAAGCCAAGATCCCCCACAAGTCCTGAAGCTTCTCCTACTGTCAAGGTTATCACCTGCAAGACCTTGTCTGGACAGTTCACATTAACTGCTACATTATATACCCTCCTACCATCTATCTATCTACCCCTCTCTCACTCTTCACTTCTATCTACTATCTATCTGTCTCTACCATCTATTTATCTGTCTATCTGCCAATTATATTGCTGGTCTCTCTCTCTTTCTTACAGACACACACACACACACACACTTGCAAAACGACCCCAAACAATTAGACTTTCCCCTCTAAGCATAGATGGTATTGGGCCACCAGGACATGCCACAGAGCTCTGCCAGTTGTCCCAGCATAATGAGAGAATCATGCTCCCAGAGAGTCAGAAGCCCTCGTGTCTCAGTTCTGTCATGACGTCCCACTGGGAAGCAACTTGGTCCTATTTAGACTTGTCCTTCATACTATTTCAAATATTTCTTATGCTGCCCTTCTGAAACACTGCCTTTTCATGCAGAAATTGACACAGGAGGCAGCTCTACAATTATGTTTGATTTTGTCACAAGAGAGTGTTCAGGTAACCTTTCTTAAAGACTGATTTATCATAAGAGCCTTCCTTTATTGAGCATGAAATAGATCCTCCTTCATCTACTGAAGTGGATTTTCTTTTACAGATTATTTGATAGGTAAATGTAGAATCATAAACACGTCAGGAAGAAACTAGTGCCAGTTGAAGACAGTCCCCCAAAAGATGTCACAAGCCTTTGATAGAGCTATGAAAACGCTGAGGATGGGGAAATGGTTTGATAGAATGAACTTCCATGTGCATTTATCTATTCTGATAGGCGCAGGGTCCAGTGATGCACCAGAGCTTCTCAAATCAGCTGACGGTCATCAACACCTAATTACTGAGTACCAGTGTTAGTTTTCTCAGGCTGCCATAACAAAATACCACAGACCAGGGCCCTTAAACTAGAGACATTTATGTTCTCCAGTTT